CTGAGTCCGCATATAAACCCTTCTTCAGGCCCATCCTAAATGCTTTTAAGACGGGGGCCACCATTTCCTTATTTTCATATAGGAGAGGTTTAACGTATCCGCGGAACAAATCCATATCATGGTCAATTCTATTCTTTGGGGTCTCCGAAGAAGATGCAGGCAGGCGTTGTATGACGATGCACTGGCTGCGATTAAATAAAGGGCTATAAGTTTTATTGTTGGACCCTACTGAAGTCTGGGTATCCTCGACTTGTGCTGTGATATCTTTAAGCTCCGGCATTTGATTATTGGGAGGACCCAACCGCTCCTCTATCGTGCCAAGGCCACCTTTTTGTGTGGTAGTCGGTGGCGTCTTGGGCTCTTCGGGAGACGCGACCAGACAAGTTCTTACCGGTATCTTAGACACCTACTTAATAGCCTGATGTTTGGCACACGATAATTAAAACGAGAATTACCATCAAGAGAAAACAAAAACTGTTCAATAGTACCCATGAATCTGACATTTTGAATGGAAATGCAAACAGGCAGTTGTCGGATATTGAGATACATGAAAATGGTATAAAAACTTATGGTTAAAACCCGTTCGGGTACACGCAGGAATCTTCTCAATTTCACCTGATCTCATCATCAAATGAAAAACACCTCGTAATACTAAGCAGACTTCCATTTACAACATGCTTCGTCCTTATAATGTCGCTTGGATCCCGCTTTGGACGAATTGCAATGTAGGCACTTTGGCTGGGTTTAGTTGACATTAGCACGTCAAACACCACTCCAAAAGCAGCGAAGTGATTCCACAAGTGGTCTTCAGTGATTTTTGGCGTCAGGCCTTCTACTAAAAAGTCACAAACGTGCGCGGATTTCACTGCGGCCTTATGAAATTGCAAATTAATTCTTTCCGGTTGAAACGTTTTCGTTGTGCTCGATGATCTTTGCCTCGTAAACCGGAATTGATTCTTCTGAACAATATTCTGGTCGGTTCTAGAAGAATAAATGAAAAGGATTTCGTTTAAAAGGGGACTACCATGCGGGTTATAATGTAGGTTTTATTGCAAGTTTCTTGGAACCAACATCGCTCATTTTCATTATGGATGACTACTTTCACTGAAACAATGTGCATTCAATCTGGTTCTGCCTGACATTCTTCTACGTAGTATTATATGCGCTATGAAAGCTCCAAGTCAGCAAAGCGTATTCAAGCCCTTCTTATATTTCCCGTTACAGTTTGCGGACAGTGTTTATCTGTTACTCTGTGTTGTCAAACTAGGTTTATTTTGCCTAGTGTCCTCTGTTTCTTCTAAACGCAGTGAAGGTACTCCTGGAGTGTTCCTTAGTAAGTACGGGCAACAGACCATTTGCAAATGAGTCAAGAATCATGAGTTTTTTAAATGTAGACTTCAATTTGGTCCCTGGTCTTGCCATGCCTTTTTCTTTCTTGCCGTTATAAGTGTTTCAGTGTTTGCTTTAGCTCCTGGTGTTCAATGGGATTATTTGTGGTCGATAAATGCTCTATAAAATCCCCAAACGCAGACAAAATATGCTTTAATCTTTATTTTGACTCCACACGTCCACACCTCTTTATATTGCTGTTATATTTTATCATCTTTTTTAAACTGGGTTGATTAGGTGGTGAAAATGTATGCGAAAATAGTCCTGACTGGTGTATTTTGAACCGAAACAGATTCTGTAACTTCAAGATTATGGCATGTCAACGAGTTGCTTCGACTGCCTGCAAATATTGCACCCTTCGAAATAATGATCACTGCAATAAAGTAAAATTCGAATATTTTGTAGGGGACATCAGGACAATTTAAGGAACACATCAGGGAAGTCTGAGTGCAAAACCTACTAAAAGTTGACCATCTATCCAGAATGGGAAATTTGACTCAAAACCAGCTACCTAATTCAGAAGAATATCTGGCGAGCATACGTAGCTTTGGTAAAGTATCTTGGAGCCATTACATTTATATAGGGAATGGGTAAAAAGTAAGATGCTGACAAGTATGGTCATCGTTACAGGCAAATTGGTCAAGGGAAAAAGGGAGGGGTGGGGTTGATAGTAATTTGTTGGTTGCGAGGCGATGAGGGTTTGTCAAATCTGGGCAGGGGGAGGGTCAGGGTGGGAAGTGGGAGAAAGCGCGGAAAGGTGCAGGCAGTTATGAAACCGTTTGCCATGCTTGCAGGAGGTTCTTTTGCGCGCACAAACAAACCAACAACAAACCCCCATCGCCTCGCAGCCAGACGAGTGTTATCAACTCCACCAACTCCCGTTTTTCCAAGGACTTATGTGCCTGTAAACATGAACATAATTGTCAGCGTGTTATTTTTTACCCCTCCCTATATAAAGGTTATAGCCCAAATATAATTAATCGAAAGCTAGCTACGTACGCTCACCAGATATTTA